CCCCCCGACCCCCCGATATAAGACCCCTCTCTAACTTTCCTTGTTTTAACTTCATTTTAATATTATGTGTTAAATCTTAATTGCTAAAGCTCCTTTTCAAATGCTCTTTTCATTCCGGTTATTAGCCCCCTCAAATATAAGCCTCTCCGTTTATAAGCCCATTTAAAAACCCTTACGAAGTTGTATAAGCCCAGAGCTTATAAGCGGCAGTATAAAGAGAGTGTTCAATTGACTTTTTGGATATGTTATAAAACGATTTTCCTGAAGTAGTCTCGGTTGACGGTAAGATTTGACGATATAAACCTCTAAAGAACAGGAAGGTCAGCAAGCCAAGATAAAGTTGAAAGCATGAGGCCAAGATATTTTAGAGATTTGTAAACACACAATAAAGGACTGTACATTGAAAAAAAAAAGACATTTTGTATCCTCCACACAACTCATTGCAGAATTTAATCTGAGCCAAAAACAGAAATCACTTGGGTTTTTTTCGTTGCTGTGCTGCACACCAGTCATTCGCGAGTTCGTTCATCTGAGCTGAATAATTACTCGAGAAACCATGCAAATATTGCATCTCGATTCATATTTGGTTCTCTTTTCATGATCCTCCGGCACTTAAATACCGGTATGCCCATAACAAAGGAGAAAGCTGACAAAACCGTGTATAAACACGTTGGGGGGGGGNTCATTAACTCTTTGGGTGGGGGTGTGCCTATAGTACACTGAAACCCTTCCCCTGTACTAGACCATTATCAGTTTGATTTTGAAACCCTATTCAAGACTAGGCGCCAAAAACTCCTACCCCAACCCAGGTGTCCAGAAAAGTACGTCATGGCTACCTTAACGGTTTCATTGAATTTAAAGCACGAAGTAAAGTTCCTTCGTAGCATGTGTGTGTGCTAACGAGAGTCCATCATGTGCAAAGAGGTCGGTCTCTCTCCGTCTCCCCCCATTCCTTCCAAGAGATAGTTAGGCCTGTGGTACCCATCTTGCCTAGTCGAGAAGGGAATTGTTTTCTGAGCAAAAGCAGGGCAGTCTTCGCTCCCTCGTGTTCCACCCACATTAGATTCCAATCCCCGTCTACCAGCTGCTTTCATTACCAGTGAGTACCAGAATTTCCTTCTCCAAGCATCAACAAGACAATTAACTTTCCGTTAAACTTTGCAAACACGTTCATGCGCACAACATCAGTCAAATAGAAAGCAAATTTATTTTATAAGGTTTATTGTAACCTCAATGGCAAGTTGTTGTCTTTTTTCTTACTCACAGTATGACCATTTCTCTTCGTCACTTAAATAAAATACATCAAAAGACACCTTAGTTCGCTATCAATATGTTATCACCTTTGTGCGGAGATGCGCCTAAATGAATTAACTATGTCTAGTTATTTGAGCGAACAGAGTAATTTTTACGCTTTCGTGCGCGCTTGAGGTGAGCACGGCACGCGCGATCACAGGTGATCGCGTGCGAAAACGCGCGATTTGGAGAAGTGCGAGTCAGCCAAAACCCATGCTTCACAAGCGCGCGAAAACTCATCGAAAAAAAATTAACTTTGTTGCTCAGACTATTCTGATTTTATCTTTGTAACTTGAATTCTGAGCCACGCTTTGCTCAACATTTCTTTCTTGTTTTCTTAAATTCGATAAAAAGAGAAAACAACCGGGACCAGGGTACTCGTTCAGAGCTTCCTAAATTCAATAAATAACGGTTAATATAGACTTTTAAAGAATTTCCTCGCATGTCAGAGAGACAGAGGTCCTGACAACAGATCTACTCTTTTCCTGTTAACAGCCAGGGCTCCAAAAACTGCTTCTTGCCAAATCTGCGAAGACGTGTTCGCAGTTTCCGGATTTTTGTTGTCAAATCCGAAAACAGCACGAACACTCAAGGCCGCGACAGCTGTTACGTCAACTTCCAATACGCCGCTGATGAACAACGCGGGCCCAATAATTCTCGTAGGAGTCATTTCAAATACAATATTCTCGCTCTCCCGTCTGTCAACGTTACAAGGACATTCGTTTCACTTTTTCAGGGGACTCTTCCACGAATTGTATCATTCCATTACTTTTCCTTGTCCAATCCAATGATTTTAACGAATCCTATTACGCGTAATCATATACATTTCCAAACGAAGACGCTGCAAGAGAAAAGCAACAGAAAAATGTTAAGGAAGTTGTGTGCACTAGGGTGTGCAACGGCCAGTTAGGGGAAAAAAATTTGCCTTACTTACCAGCAATCATCTCCGCCCGCGCTGATCAGATAGCGGTCATCGCACGTAAATCGCACGTTAGTCACGTGAGCAGAGTGGCCTACGTATCGCTTGAAGGGAGCCTGGAGACAAAAAGAAACATGCCAGACATGTCGTATTTCGTATCGATACTAGCAATAAAAAGAGCTTAACTCGTAAATTAAACATCTACAGAATAATAACCTAGAATTGGTTCATTTGATAGGAGGCCTTCATTAGACCATATTCGTATTCCCGGTATTAGACTGGAACTAGCTTGCAAAAGAGGCTCATGCGGGGAATATCACTAAAAAGAAATTAATGTCATTTGCATTTGAAAAGACTCCTCGCATTAGCCTCAGTTGCAAGCTAGTTCCAGTCCAATACCGAGAATACGAACATGGTCTATTCGAAAGAAAGGTGCTAAATCAAATCATCAATGAATCTTACGTTTCAAGAATTTTACCTACGTATTACAGTGGACAAGAGTCAAGAATAAACTTACAAACTTCTCCGTGACCGGGAACTCGAACAACTTTACAAAACCAAAGTCATCACCAGTAGCGAGCGAGAGACCGCTGGACGAAAGATTGGCGCAGTTGACATCTGCTTTGTCAGCGTTTCGCGGCCACACGCCAATCACTTCATTACCTAGAACACTGAAATGTCCGTAACAAATTAAAAGTGATTAAAAGTAATATTCCCCTTGAAAGACACTGAAAATAAAAGAAAAGAAGAAAGCATTGATGAAACCTTTTGGACAGGCACTCTTGGACTCGTCACGCAATCTTTCCGGAGAGGACATTGCGTGACGAGTCCAAAGAGTGTCCAAAGCTAGAGAATAAAACCACTTACCTAGTCCAAGACGCCCACGTGATTCTGTTGATTTCTTTCCTGTTTTTCAAAGGGTTTCCACCAGGAACAGTAAACACCAGCCGGTCATAAGCACCCGTGGACACCTTAACAAATAAAGAAAAGTTCATAATATCGCTTTAAAAAAGACGAATTGAGTTTCCTGTGCTTTAACAATAGCTAACACAAACTATGGCTCCTGGAGGTTTTGCTTACTTGAATGAATCTGCCATCCGCAGAGAAATCCATCTGAGTGACAAATGAAGGGATTCCTTTGCAGTAACCAACACGTGTTAGCGGGCGTCCATCGCGGAGCTCATAGAAATCGACACAGTTATCGTCTGATCCAACGGCTAAGTACTTACCATCTGGACTGAATCTGAAACATTTACAAAAACTCCGTTTGCCGATTTTGAAGCAGGCGCAAAAAGATGATGAGCGGAAGTCGAGGAATTGAATGGTAGATTTTTGCAGAGAACACATAACGTCCTAACGACGGTTTGCAAACAGGCTTTAGAACCCACTGTCCTCTGTTTCCAAAGTTGAAACTAACGAGGACGCTAGTGTGAAATCAAATCGTGTCTAGATTATTAGGCGCATTCTCGCATTTTCGGTGAGCCCAGATTATTTGGGGCGCAGAGCTTAAAATCTGGAAGTCCTTGCTTCAAGTTCCTCACTCTGCCACTAGCTGACTTGTTCTCGGTAGTCAAGAGTTAAACTCCACGGCCTTGCGTATTAAATAGCTAACTGGCCAAGCTACCATAAGTCGTCTAAGTTGAGATTCATAACTAGTATACTGCTCAACTTTTAATCTTTGATCGTTGATTTACAACGTCCGCAAGAAGTATCAAGTGCTAAATTCACCAACAGTTAAAGGAAGTGTTATCTTGATACAGCGACTTGCTCACCTGACATCCTGGATAGCTTGGTGTCGATCACGCTTCTGCGCCACCATCTTCAGGTCAGCGGTTTTAAGAACAACAAAGGCGCCATTTTTGAGACCGACAGCAAGCAGTTCACCATCTGGAGAGAAGGCAGCTGACCGAGCGGCCACGCCAAGAGGGGCCATCTTAACCATTGTCTACAAAAAAAGAGAGAGAAGGAATCGAAATGGAGATCCGCATTTGGCTTAAGATGCAACCCGTAAACCGACAACTTGGTAGCCTCCCACGCAGACGATTTTAGGGCTCGTCACGCAATCTTCCTTCTACCATCATTGCGTGGGGGAGGAAGATTGCGTAACGAGCCCTAGAAAGCTAACAGCTTGTGAAAAAGACGCATTCAGTCACGACAAGTACACACGCTAGAACCGATCACCGGCCAATCGTGTTTATCATAACAAAAATCGTGTTTACCTTACTAGCCACGTCCCACAGTCTGACAGTCTGGTCATCACTAGCTGTCACAAACACTTCTCTCTCTGGGTGACAGTCTAAACCCCAGATCTCTCCCTCACCATGGCCACGGACGATGGTCTGGAACCAAAAGAGAGACGAAACAACTTAAGTGACGAGGGCTGGGCGACAATTTTGCCTAAATTCTCATCATCGGCTATCATTAGCGCGCGCTCAAACGCAAATTGTTAATTTTCAGTCATCTGCCTTTGAAACGAGAGCAAACCTCCCACAACTCATGAAAGTTTGTCTAGATTCAAACACGGTCAAAACACAAAGCAGAAGAACTGACAACAGAAATAAATGAAAACTCTTACCTGAGACGAGGCAGTCTTTTCAGTGATCTCAATTATTTCACTGTCCTTGGTACCTACAAGGATTTTACCCTAAAATGAAAAAAAATTACCGTCATTCTCCAACATTGGAGATTTTCGTGTAGTGCACAACCCAAACAAGAGCACAACGTCGTAATATACGCGCGATAAAATTCTTGTCCCGTGTGAGGGAAGTCTGAGATTCGACGGACAGAAAATTTCCATTTACGATAATTCAAACCTTCCCTTCTCGTTTCAAGAAATCACATTTACAGCTGTTTAACATTTAAAAGGCGACGGTTGAATCTACCATCACCATAAAGTTTGAAACGAAGATTGATCCTCTTGTTTAGGTTTCCAGTATTTGCATGACCTCGTATACTTTCGCTTTTGCTCCGATCGTTAGCATATAGAATGCTATAGACTGCTCGACTAACCTTGCCTCTACAAACTGATCGCACAACACTGGGGCCTGGCCCCAAACTTAAAGAACGGCAACGCTTCATCTCTTGGTCCCAGAGTTTGATAGCCACACCCTCCTTGGTATTACTGAAAAGACAGAAATATTAACATTAGAACCTTTTCCTCGACAGACGTCAACAAAGTTAAATAATCCCAATAATAACTATTTGAGAGGAACGTTTATGAGACGAACGCATCAGGATTCTAGTGTAGTTAGCGATGGCCAGTATTCAAGTGGGACCGAGGTGATCGCTTTTACGTTTGGCGTAGATTCCTCTGATAGGTTGCAAGAATCCCACGTCAACTAGAAATTCCTTCGCAACGTTTCACCTTTTCTATTGCACTTCACGAGTTAAAATTCACTGCCTCTCATTCAATCTTTCACTTAAAAGACATACTCTAAAATAACTGGAAAACCTGAAGTTTCACTAACAAACCCAACGAAACAGTTCAGTGCTATAGATTTAAGTAATATAACAAACCTTAAAGAGGATGTTTGACCACATTTCCAAACACCGAGAGGAGAGTTAAAAATACGACGCGCAGCGGAGTATTTTTAACGAACTTCGGGGTGTTAGGAAATGTGGTCAAACACTGTCTTGAGTGTTTGATATATCTTCTCAATCGAAACTAAAACTAAGGAGACAATTGAGAATTAAAATCGTAAAAATCTATGCTCATTAGGATCAGATATCCAAACACCGTCACGGTCATGATTTCCTTTGTTAAAACTTGATGAATTATTAATGAGTTTAAGAAGTTCACATTACTAACGCTTTTTCCTTTCCTCCTGTGACAATGAGTCCATCCCTGAGAGTTGTGTGCATGGTGAACACTGGCCCACTGTGCGCCCGGCTCACTACCCGCACTAACTTGTGACTTGACCACACAAACACATCGCCATTCATGGCTCCAGTAAATGTCAGATTATCCTGCCGAGATAGAGAAGAAATAGGAAAAATGACTTCATTTCTCGGTCACTGGTGAATAAGTTGTTCAGCAAATGAAACTGTGAATGATTATTTAACCACATAACACGCACAAGCTCTCAAGGAAACGTTATTAAAAACACGTGCGTCCAAATCGAATTGGAATTTGGTGGAAAAGTCAGGATATAACTGCGGACCCTTTCGTTTAGTATCTCGCAATAATCTATACCAGTTCAGTTCGGTCTTTTGAAAGTGTATCACAAAACTGTCCATAATGAGGAAATGTAACATTTCTCAGTCTCAGTACTATGGCCTTTTGTCGGCAATGCCATGTCAGTGGAAGACTACAAGTAATTATCATTATGTAATCAAAAACAAGAAATGTTGTTGTTACTAAACTTCACGTATTTGTATAGGTAATCACACGGTTTCGAGTTCAATTTAGAATTAATTTGCACGAGTGTGTTTTTCAAAAGGCTGAAATTGAACGGGCCGCTTCGGCGCGTGCAATTTCACCTTTTTGAAAAACTCACAAGTGCAAATTAATACCAAATTGAACGAGAAAAACTGTATGAAGATCTTTCTTGAAGCCATATTTTCTCATTCATTCATTCACTTTTTTCAAAGTTTCCGCACAAAATTTTCTTCATCATTCCACGTGACATCATTGGCTTAGAAAATTTGCTGTTGTCTTTCAGCCAATCATAATCCAGAATTAGGATGTGTAATTTGCACTGGTGTTACACTTTTTCCACTGATGTTACACTTGAACTGCACTGCTCTCAGCCAATCAGAATCGAGTAATTTTTTCATGTATATTATTATACTTGTAATTGGCGAAATCAAGTGCAAAACACTAATTACACAGTTATACTAACTTATGGTCAAAATGTTTCTGCTACTACTTAAGAGAAAAGACTATGAGTGCGGTATGACAAACAAGAAGGTCAAAAAGTAGACTTCCTTCGATTTTAAGTTGGGCAAAATGATCTTTTACAGCTCAGTATCTCAAAGCTCTCCTCTATAAAACGGCTAAGATGGCATTTTTGTCCCGATCATGTACTGATCCATACATTTAACTTTTACAGCAAGCCTTTTAAAATGGTCTTACTACAACGGCCTGTCCGTTGTAGAGAAGTTTAACCGTATTTTCTTACCGCTCCAAACGCCACCGATAGCATTGTCTGCATGCGAAGCTGGGAGTCGTCACCCTCCCCCTGTAGGGCTGCCGTTATCACCCCCCGTTTTCCAACCAGCTGTCCTCCTGCCAAACTCCAAAACTTGACGTGTTTTACTCCACATGTGACAAACTGGCTGTCAGAGTCTGGTCTGAACTCCGCTACAAAAATCCTCTCTGTGTGACCATGAGAACTGGCAAGTTTGCTGCCTAAAATACGTAAAAAGAGATGTATACAATTAAACAACATTTTTAAAAATTACTGCAAAAAGAAAAAAAAAGACAGAAACAAAAAACAAACCAAAAGTGTAAAATTCTAGACGAATTAAGCGTCACGCCGGCTGGCAGAAATTGATTTCAGTCCAACAATTCCCAGTACAAGAAGTACCTTGTCGACTGACTTCCGACTTCCTTCAAAATGAATAACCGATTTTTGCTTTGAATTGTTTCAATTATGGCCAGCTCAAGATAGAATGTATGCAGTTAAAGATTCAGTTGCAGGATTTTCGGTAAGTTAACATTACGTAATTCAAAAACAGTTGGATAAACACTTTTTCTAGCTTTTGAGTTTCCGAGAAGTAAGTTGTTAGAAAATTAAAATCATAATTTCCTGACATGTGTACCTACCGAGAAAATGGTATCCAAAATCCTTACATGGTTGATTTACCAGTGCTCATGCAGTTTTTTGAAGTCGAACTATTCAAGTTTCCTACAAAGTTTTGCCAAAACAGCACAGGTTTTTCTATAAGTTAAGTGTCTAAACGATTTGATTTTATTGGTCGGTATGTGATGAATGCGCTATTTACCTTCAGCCCATTTCCACACCGCAATGCTATGTGCAGCGTCGATGCCTACAGTTACAAGAAGCTTTCCGTTACAGCTGAAGTTCACTGCACACACGCCTTTGGTGTGGAATCCTTGTATGACGGATAACGTCTCCTTGGACATGGCATCCCACACGTGAACACAAGGCTCTGTACCGATCTGACCAGTAGCTACAATGTTCTGCAGAACACAAAACAACTGAATGAAGAGGAAATCTGACTCCAACCCTTTCTGAACTTTATTACTATGAGAGAATCTTTGTTTACAATATCTGCCTAATTATCAAAAGCGATACAGTTTCTGATGAAGCTACAAAAACNTTGAATTGTTTCAATTATGGCCAGCTCAAGATAGAATGTATGCAGTTAAAGATTCAGTTGCAGGATTTTCGGGAAGTTAACATCTCGTAATTTGAAAACATTTGGATAAAAACTTTTTCTAGCTTTTGAGTTTCCGAGAAGTAAGTCGTTAGAAAATTAACATCATAATTTCCTGACATGTGTACCTACCGAGAAAATGGTGTCCAAGATCCTTACATGGTTGATTTAGTAGTGCTCATGCATTTTTTTGAAGTTGAACTATTCAAGTTTCTCTAGAAGGTTTTACCGATACTGCACTCGTTTCCCCAGCAAATCGAGTGTCTAAACGATTTGATTTTATTGGTCAATGTGTGATGAATGCGCTATTTACCTTCAGCCCATTTCCACACCGCAATGCTATGTGCAGCGTCAATGCCTACAGTTACAAGAAGCTTGCCATTACAGCTGAAGTTCACGGCACACACGCCTTTGGTGTGGAATCCTTGTATGACGGATAACGTCTCCTTGGACATGGCATCCCACACGTGAACACAAGGCTCTGTACCGATCTGACCAGTAGCTACAATGTTCTGCAGAACACAAAACAACTGAATGAAGAGGAAATCTGACTCCAACCCTTTCTGAACTTTATTACTATGAGAGAATCTTTGTTTACAATATTTGCCTAATTATCAAAAGCGATACAGTTTCTGATGGAGCTACAAAAACATTATTTCTGAAAATTAAAAGGGCACAGCACGATAAACAGTCCTAAGGAATTTGAGCCCGATGTAAAGAATACTTTTTGTGCGACGCGGGAAATTTTGCAGTTTTTTAAAACCAATTTCTCCTCGAATATTACACCCAAAGAGCCAAAACGTTCACCAATTACTAAGTTTCACAAGCTCTTTAAATTGTTGAAGTCAATTCGTGTCTGGCGTGATGCCTTCTCTGCGCAAAGTAGTATGTCAATGAAGAAAAATATAAACAAAGACGTCACCAAAAGTTCTTCTATATGGCCAAGCTTCTGTGGAGACAAAGTGATCGTACCTCTGGTCCACAGTAATAAAAAGAAATGTTAAAGAATTGACGCACCTTAAACTTAGGGTGTTGGTTGACAGCCAAGCATATGATATCGTCGGTGTGGTCAAGATAGAATGACTGTATTCCATTAGCTGTGCTCAGAACAATTCCCGCCCCGGCAGCGTGGTACACAATGTCTCCCTCAGGGAGGTAGTGTAAGTTGTTCCTGGTGTCAAATCCTCGATAGCCGTGAATGAATTCCAAACTGAGTTCCTGTGGATTGGAAATGAAACGATTTGCATTAGAACAATAGTTAGAGCTAATATGGGACTGACTAGTTACAATATTTGCCTCATCAACATCAGCGCTTTAGTTTGTGGTTGAGCTACAACTATACCAGGTCCGAATAAAAACTGAAATTCTAAAAAGAATTCGCGCTTTTGCCACCCAGAAGTTAGGCAGTTTCTGAAAGTTAACATCTAATTCAATATTACACCAAAAGGACTCGCACTTTCATCAATACTAAGTTTAAAACACTCGTATGTGGCAAGATCTAGAAGCTTTCTCTATGCAATTTGTACTTTCTCGAACTTTTTTTCCCTAAAATGACTAAGTGAAGCTGGGAATATAATTTTGTTGTCAATAAATCAATTTGTATAACCTGGATTTGTTGATTTCTTCTTTTCTTTCCCGAGTCCCTCTGCCGATCAAGCTGTCTGACTTTAGGAGGAGCTTTAGAGCCACGACTAACAGCAGGTCTATCACCAAAAAAAAAAAAGAAAACATAATATTATTATTAAGAATCAAAAGAAATATGCAGTAATCTTGGCGAAAATGAGTCCAGCGTTAAACGAGAGTACTCAAACTGGTAAATCACTTGTCAAGTCAAAATAAAATTAAACTTAACCGTGGAGGTGTTTGAAAACGTGTTCTCAGAGCATTGGTTTTTGAGATTTTATTTCTGCGTCAGTTTTTGTCTTCGTTTAAGTTTTGATTGAGACGATACCTGAACCACTCCAGCCAGTGTTCTACTGTCACATTCCAAATAAATTCCTCGAATTAGAGTACGCTGTGCATCGTAATTTCAACTCTTTTCTTGACGTTTGGAAATGTGACGAGATACTGTCTCTCGTGTTTCACATTTTACTTCAAGCTCGACGAGGGTTTTCTCTCGTTTGTGAGGCAGATGATGTAAACTCTCGCGTACTCTCAACTTTGCGCTGACAAGTAGAACAGGTCCTACAAAACAGTTGACTACAATGCAAAGTATGACAACCAACCTATGTTCCTCGTCATCTTGCTTCTCTCTAAGATGTGGTTTTACGCCTTTTGTAGTTCGAATCGGATTTGCATAAATCTTATCCTCGTATGTCAGATTCTTTTCTTTCTGCACGTCACTGTCGTAGCCTCCCTCTTCCTCCGAGTCTGTGTCCGAATCATCACTGTCGCCACCAGTGTCTTCTCTTTCACGGCCCCGAGCATGTGACCACACCATGACTGACGTGTCGGCTCCTCCCACTGAAATCAAGCGGCTGTCGTCATTTGTCCAGCGGACATTTGTGACATGCGCAGAATGGCCGACATATTTCTTAAACTTGGCATTCTTGCCCTGGACAAGAAATTTAAATTGAGGCATTCTGTGATAACAATTAATTTAAGTGTCATCCTGATAGAAGAACACTCGTGTTCACATTAAAAGGAAGTACTGAAATGAAAATTGAAGGTCTCTGGTGCCTAACAACTGGTTAACCAACTTGTGTTTTCTGAATGCCGAAAACTTCCTGCTTATAAGCCCCCCGATTATAGACCCATCTGCCTGTAAACAAAATATTTATTAATACTTCCGATTATAAGCCCCTCAGGATATATCCCCTCTAGTTTAAAATGAAGTGAATTCGATTTATTATGATGCTTTAACGCTTAGTTAAAAACCAGCAAACGTAAGACGTACTTCGATCAACACTGCTGTAGCTCTCATTTCGAAAAAGGCTTTCTCAGTTCGCTTATAAGCCACCCCCCTCCCCCCGTCCCCCAGATATAAGCCCCTCCGTTTATAAGCCAATTCAAAACCCACTACGAAGTTGTATAAGCCCAGGACTTATAAGCGGCAGTTTACGGGGTATGTTTGAAACGCCTGCTATGCCACTTACCTGGACTGGGTACTCAAACACCTTCACAAATCCAAAGTCATCTCCGGTGGCTAGGATCTTCTTATCCTTGGTCAAATCAACCGCGTTCACATCAGTAATGTCTGAGTGTGGCGGCCAGATTCCCGTGCAGTCTTCACCAAGAACACCGGTCCATGTGAACCAGTCAATCTCTTTAGCTTTATTGGTGGCTATTGTTTGACGCGTACCGCGGGGCGCCTCAAAGAACAGCCGCTCCTTCGCTCCAGAGTTGGTTTGAAGAAGCTTTCCTGCAGTAAACGGTATGAAACACATATGTGAAGACTAAGGACCCGACCACACTAACCCGTTTTCGTATGAAAACGCACACGTTTTGATGTGTTCTCGCCTTTCGTCCAGACCAAAACGCTCGAAAACGCTAATGAAAACGGAGGCTTTCGAAAACCGTTACAAAAGTGAAGCCTTTTGAAAACACATCGTTTTGAAAACGCTCCGTTCCTAGTGTGGAGTAGGTGAAAACAAGGGCTTTTGAAAACGATGCCGAAAAAAGTGTCATATACTGTTAATCTGATCAGCGTTTTCGGTCGTTTTAGTGCAGACGATAAGAGACGAAATCGCATTAGCCTGGTAACGGCCTAAACCATCCGGTATCCCAGAAAAGCGTGTCTAGAATATCAATTAGGATCACTCACTACACATAGTGTGTGACCGTTCAGCAAATTCAACTAAAAGCTACTGAGTTGTACTTTCATGTGGTGCAGTATGCTGTGCATGGTGGTTCTAACTTTTAAGTCTGTGGATGAAACCCTAGTGTGTGACCATTCAAATGAAAGCTATTGAGCATTNGAGTGTGTTTTTCAAAAGGCTGAAATTGAACGGGCCGCTTCGGCGCGTGCAATTTCACCTTTTTGAAAAACTCACAAGTGCAAATTAATACCAAATTGAACGAGAAAAACTGTATGAAGATCTTTCTTGAAGCCATATTTTCTCATTCATTCATTCACTTTTTTCAAAGTTTCCGCACAAAATTTTCTTCATCATTCCACGTGACATCATTGGCTTAGAAAATTTGCTGTTGTCTTTCAGCCAATCATAATCCAGAATTAGGATGTGTAATTTGCACTGGTGTTACACTTTTTCCACTGATGTTACACTTGAACTGCACTGCTCTCAGCCAATCAGAATCGAGTAATTTTTTCATGTATATTATTATACTTGTAATTGGCGAAATCAAGTGCAAAACACTAATTACACAGTTATACTAACTTATGGTCAAAATGTTTCTGCTACTACTTAAGAGAAAAGACTATGAGTGCGGTATGACAAACAAGAAGGTCAAAAAGTAGACTTCCTTCGATTTTAAGTTGGGCAAAATGATCTTTTACAGCTCAGTATCTCAAAGCTCTCCTCTATAAAACGGCTAAGATGGCATTTTTGTCCCGATCATGTACTGATCCATACATTTAACTTTTACAGCAAGCCTTTTAAAATGGTCTTACTACAACGGCCTGTCCGTTGTAGAGAAGTTTAACCGTATTTTCTTACCGCTCCAAACGCCACCGATAGCATTGTCTGCATGCGAAGCTGGGAGTCGTCACCCTCCCCCTGTAGGGCTGCCGTTATCACCCCCCGTTTTCCAACCAGCTGTCCTCCTGCCAAACTCCAAAACTTGACGTGTTTTACTCCACATGTGACAAACTGGCTGTCAGAGTCTGGTCTGAACTCCGCTACAAAAATCCTCTCTGTGTGACCATGAGAACTGGCAAGTTTGCTGCCTAAAATACGTAAAAAGAGATGTATACAATTAAACAACATTTTTAAAAATTACTGCAAAAAGAAAAAAAAAGACAGAAACAAAAAACAAACCAAAAGTGTAAAATTCTAGACGAATTAAGCGTCACGCCGGCTGGCAGAAATTGATTTCAGTCCAACAATTCCCAGTACAAGAAGTACCTTGTCGACTGACTTCCGACTTCCTTCAAAATGAATAACCGATTTTTGCTTTGAATTGTTTCAATTATGGCCAGCTCAAGATAGAATGTATGCAGTTAAAGATTCAGTTGCAGGATTTTCGGTAAGTTAACATTACGTAATTCAAAAACAGTTGGATAAACACTTTTTCTAGCTTTTGAGTTTCCGAGAAGTAAGTTGTTAGAAAATTAAAATCATAATTTCCTGACATGTGTACCTACCGAGAAAATGGTATCCAAAATCCTTACATGGTTGATTTACTAGTGCTCATGCAGTTTTTTGAAGTCGAACTATTCAAGTTTCCTACAAAGTTTTGCCAAAACAGCACAGGTTTTTCTATAAGTTAAGTGTCTAAACGATTTGATTTTATTGGTCGGTATGTGATGAATGCGCTATTTACCTTCAGCCCATTTCCACACCGCAATGCTATGTGCAGCGTCGATGCCTACAGTTACAAGAAGCTTTCCGTTACAGCTGAAGTTCACTGCACACACGCCTTTGGTGTGGAATCCTTGTATGACGGATAACGTCTCCTTGGACATGGCATCCCACACGTGAACACAAGGCTCTGTACCGATCTGACCAGTAGCTACAATGTTCTGCAGAACACAAAACAACTGAATGAAGAGGAAATCTGACTCCAACCCTTTCTGAACTTTATTACTATGAGAGAATCTTTGTTTACAATATCTGCCTAATTATCAAAAGCGATACAGTTTCTGATGAAGCTACAAAAACACTAGTTCTGAATACTATGCCTTCTCTGCGAAAAGTCGTATGTTAATGACAAAATGTGAACAATGACGTCAGGAAAAATTCTCCTATGTGGCCAAGCTTCTGTGGAGACAAAGTGATCGTACTTGAAATCTCTGGTCCACAGTAGTAAAAAGAAATGTTAAAGAATTGACGCACCTTAAACTTAGGGTGTTGGTTGACAGCCAAGCATATGATATCGTCGGTGTGGTCAAGATAGAATGACTGTATTCCATTAGCTGTGCTCAGAACAATTCCCGCCCCGGCAGCGTGGTACACAATGTCTCCCTCAGGGAGGTAGTGTAAGTTGTTCCTGGTGTCAAATCCTCGATAGCCGTGAATGAATTCCAAACTGAGTTCCTGTGGATTGGAAATGAAACGATTTGCATTAGAACAATAGTTAGAGCTAATATGGGACTGACTAGTTACAATATTTGCCTCATCAACATCAGCGCTTTAGTTTGTGGTTGAGCTACAACTATACCAGGTCCGAATAAAAACTGAAATTCTAAAAAGAATTCGCGCTTTTGCCACCCAGAAGTTAGGCAGTTTCTGAAAGTTAACATCTAATTCAATATTACACCAAAAGGACTCGCACTTTCATCAATACTAAGTTTAAAACACTCGTATGTGGCAAGATCTAGAAGCTTTCTCTATGCAATTTGTACTTTCTCGAACTTTTTTTCCCTAAAATGACTAAGTGAAGCTGGGAATATAATTTTGTTGTCAATAAATCAATTTGTATAACCTGGATTTGTTGATTTCTTCTTTTCTTTCCCGAGTCCCTCTGCCGATCAAGCTGTCTGACTTTAGGAGGAGCTTTAGAGCCACGACTAACAGCAGGTCTATCACCAAAAAAAAAAAAGAAAACATAATATTATTATTAAGAATCAAAAGAAATATGCAGTAATCTTGGCGAAAATGAGTCCAGCGTTAAACGAGAGTACTCAAACTGGTAAATCACTTGTCAAGTCAAAATAAAATTAAACTTAACCGTGGAGGTGTTTGAAAACGTGTTCTCAGAGCATTGGTTTTTGAGATTTTATTTCTGCGTCAGTTTTTGTCTTCGTTTAAGTTTTGATTGAGACGATACCTGAACCACTCCAGCCAGTGTTCTACTGTCACATTCCAAATAAATTCCTCGAATTAGAGTACGCTGTGCATCGTAATTTCAACTCTTTTCTTGACGTTTGGAAATGTGACGAGATACTGTCTCTCGTGTTTCACATTTTACTTCAAGCTCGACGAGGGTTTTCTCTCGTTTGTGAGGCAGATGATGTAAACTCTCGCGTACTCTCAACTTTGCGCTGACAAGTAGAACAGGTCCTACAAAACAGTTGACTACAATGCAAAGTATGACAACCAACCTATGTTCCTCGTCATCTTGCTTCTCTCTAAGATGTGGTTTTACGCCTTTTGTAGTTCGAATCGGATTTGCATAAATCTTATCCTCGTATGTCAGATTCTTTTCTTTCTGCACGTCACTGTCGTAGCCTCCCTCTTCCTCCGAGTCTGTGTCCGAATCATCACTGTCGCCACCAGTGTCTTCTCTTTCACGGCCCCGAGCATGTGACCACACCATGACTGACGTGTCGGCTCCTCCCACTGAAATCAAGCGGCTGTCGTCATTTGTCCAGCGGACATTTGTGACATGCGCAGAATGGCCGACATATTTCTTAAACTTGGCATTCTTGCCCTGGACAAGAAATTTAAATTGAGGCATTCTGTGATAACAATTAATTTAAGTGTCATCCTGATAGAAGAACACTCGTGTTCACATTAAAAGGAAGTACTGAAATGAAAATTGAAGGTCTCTGGTGCCTAACAACTGGTTAACCAACTTGTGTTTTCTGAATGCCGAAAACTTCCTGCTTATAAGCCCCCCGATTATAGACCCATCTGCCTGTAAACAAAATATTTATTAATACTTCCGATTATAAGCCCCTCAGGATATATCCCCTCTAGTTTAAAATGAAGTGAATTCGATTTATTATGATGCTTTAACGCTTAGTTAAAAACCAGCAAACGTAAGACGTACTTCGATCAACACTGCTGTAGCTCTCATTTCGAAAAAGGCTTTCTCAGTTCGCTTATAAGCCACCCCCCTCCCCCCGTCCCCCAGATATAAGCCCCTCCGTTTATAAGCCAATTCAAAACCCACTACGAAGTTGTATAAGCCCAGGACTTATAAGCGGCAGTTTACGGGGTATGTTTGAAACGCCTGCTATGCCACTTACCTGGACTGGGTACTCAAACACCTTCACAAATCCAAAGTCATCTCCGGTGGCTAGGATCTTCTTATCCTTGGTCAAATCAACCGCGTTCACATCAGTAATGTCTGAGTGTGGCGGCCAGATTCCCGTGCAGTCTTCACCAAGAACACCGGTCCATGTGAACCAGTCAATCTCTTTAGCTTTATTGGTGGCTATTGTTTGACGCGTACCGCGGGGCGCCTCAAAGAACAGCCGCTCCTTCGCTCCAGAGTTGGTTTGAAGAAGCTTTCCTGCAGTAAACGGTATGAAACACATATGTGAAGACTAAGGACCCGACCACACTAACCCGTTTTCGTATGAAAACGCACACGTTTTGATGTGTTCTCGCCTTTCGTCCAGACCAAAACGCTCGAAAACGCTAATGAAAACGGAGGCTTTCGAAAACCGTTACAAAAGTGAAGCCTTTTGAAAACACATCGTTTTGAAAACGCTCCGTTCCTAGTGTGGAGTAGGTGAAAACAAGGGCTTTTGAAAACGATGCCGAAAAAAGTGTCATATACTGTTAATCTGATCAGCGTTTTCGGTCGTTTTAGTGCAGACGATAAGAGACGAAATCGCATTAGCCTGGTAACGGCCTAAACCATCCGGTATCCCAGAAAAGCGTGTCTAGAATATCAATTAGGATCACTCACTACACATAGTGTGTGACCGTTCAGCAAATTCAACTAAAAGCTACTGAGTTGTACTTTCATGTGGTGCAGTATGCTGTGCATGGTGGTTCTAACTTTTAAGTCTGTGGATGAAACCCT